GCGGTTGTTGGAACAACCCCACGGTTGCCTGTTGCATCACTACGTTTCACGGAGTTCACTTGTTTCTGGGGAAAATAAGGTGTCCCTCCTTTTGGCACCAAGTTTAAGCCTTACTTACCCGTGTGTGAAAGCTTGCCAGATGTTATTAATTAGAAAAGCTGTTTCAGGGTTAGTTTCTAGGACTTTCTCCCCATCTTTGGGAATGCAGGAATGTTGTTAAAAGCACCGATTGGAAAGGCAAAACAAAACATATATTTTTTAAGTTTTTGCTGTTTACCCTGTTGTCAATATTTTATATACATGTAATAAATACTGCTGTTACTGGTAGCATGTTAAGACAGGGTGTAGATCAGCCTATTTATGGCGAATTAGGCACACCTAGGTATGTGGCAGGTATACAGTGAAGTCTCTAAATCTATCATCATGCGACATTGTTCCTCATGCCTTGTAACTGTTAGCGTTTCGCTGCCTGCTTCTGCAGGCTGTCAAAATCAGCCTCGGGTACGACTGCGGCTTTGAAAGTCTTTGCAGTCCCAGCACTATCCAGACAAGCGATTTTATTCTAAATATAATACAGACACATAGCTCATCAGAGAAAAGCAGTTAAGTTTTGCTTCGTTTTAAGAGGCAACAAGTAGAACAGAAGATAACTACAGTTATTACTATAACCTTTCACTGGCACTGAATAGTATTTTTTTTTCCTTCCTTTTTCTGTTGAAATGCATGCCCGGTTTTGGCTTGCAGCAGTTGCCTGGCACGTTAGTTAACTCGTACTAAACCGCGCCTGGAGGCAGAGGACGTCTGGAGTTTAGCGCCGTCTGCTGCTTCCGCGCGGGAATACGCAGCCCGCTCTCGCGGCACTGGAATTTGCTCTGCGGTTGCTTGCTGCCATGGATTAAACTGATCTGTGCCCGGACTGATGAACAGCTCGTTGTTTAAAATTCACATTTGGTTTTGTCTGTGGTACTCGTCTGGCCTGGGTAGTGGTGCCTGTGGTCCTAACTGTGAGTGCTGCGCTCTTTTGAGTCAAAAACCCCTTGAGATGGGCTGCTTTATGAATGTTTTAAATGGTGGGAAGAGGGTCGGTGGACAAAACTCATTCGTGGCTTTCACATATGTGGCTTTCTGCCAGCCGCATATTTCTGGGATCATGCATCTGCTTATTTAATATTTCCTTGAAGAATTAGGGCCTGATCCAATTTCGTTAATCTAACTTTCCTTTGGCTTTAGAGGGGCGCTGTTTAAAGGAAGGGGATGGGCATGCGGGGACAAATTTTGTTCCTGGACGCATGAGGTTGGCTGTCACGGGCTTCCCCGGGAGCGGGGCGCGAGCATCCGGGGGAGCCAGCGGGATGACACGCGCTCGGCTCCCGGCGCGGTTCCTGGGCAGACGGGACCCAGGTCACTTTGGGAGCAGCTTCAGGCCCCAGGTCTTGTAGAGATCAGTCACGGCTTTATCAGAGTTCACTGTTTACCTCTGGGTGAGTTCCAGTTGTGTCTTTATCTAGCTCATGGCTGGATTTCGGAAGCAATTTGTTCAGAGAAAAGATTTTTTTTGTGTGTGTGTGTTTCTTCATTTGTTTCCCTTTAAAAGAGGAAAATTTTAAAATACTTGAGGATCTTCCCGCCTGCCCCCTGGACACAGCGGTAGCAGATACCGGCACGCAGCTGGAATAGCGTCTCGGCGCACCGTTGCCCTGTGCGGGGTCGTCTGGACCAGAGACTTCTATTTGTGTCCGTTTTCCTGATAGGTGCATATTTAAAAACCAAACCAAAAATAACGGCTGGACTGCAGGGCTGCTGGCTGCCCTTACAGACGTCTTAACCTTTGGTACGGCTCCAGCTGAAGGGGTGAGAGCAGATGAAGGAGGAGAGTCCCCGTGCTGCGGCAGTATTTTATGCCATGTAATGTTTTCTTTGCCAGCTGCCAGCCCTGACTCACGCTGCTGCTTGCAGTAGTATTGTCCAAGTGACTTCTAGCCTTAAATTATAATGCATCTCTGTATGGATGTTCTGATTAAAATGGCAAACGTTTTGTTGGAGGACTTGGATTTTTGTTCGTTTTCTTGGTGGTGGCCTGGGCAGCTAAGTGGAAGGGCGATCGCTGCTTCCGATCCGTGCCTGCGGCTGAGCTGCTTGGAGTCGGCTGCTTCTCCAAATGGTCGATTACAGCATCACAGTCCCGCAAAAATCCCGCGGGGCTGGTTGTGCCCCTGCCAAATTCTCACTCACAGATTTTTCACAATCTTGATCTTAAAATGATATCTAATTTTTTTTCCTCTTATGCTTCAGAACATGCTAGTGCAGTAACAGTTGAAATCGTTAAGTGATTTGCCATCAATTAGGCATAAATTTTGAAGGAATTTGGAATTAAGCAGCTGGGCGCTGGAGCGATCCCAAGGGTGGAGTGTGTTTCCGGGCTGTGCTCGGAGCTGGAGATGCTTGTGTATTTATCCTGTAGGTAGTGAGTGTACATCATCGTAGCCTCTGATAATCAGTATTTTGTCTGCTTTATCCGAGGGAAGGCTAGTAATGAAGTAGCATCAGAAAGTTAGCAACTCTGTATTGAAACTAGAGATTATCACCGATTTTAAACTTCCTGTACAATTTAACATGCTTCCTGTATCATTTAGAGTGCTGTCTTTTGAGACCAGTTACGTTTTTTATGAGACAGGAGAAATCCTATGCAAAACTCCATTTTTAAAGGGTGTCTGCAACACCTCCGTTCCGTAAATGCCTTTTTATCCACTGTTACAATAGCATCATAAATCACAGCAAAGTCAATTCTTCCATCTCCCTACCAGTAAACGTAGAGTTAGTGTGGTTCAGCACTCAGGCTGGTGTTGAGTAACGCAGCTGTCTTGAAGGAAGCAGTGAAGTCTCTCCCTAACTCTTTATTGCATGAGCTAATTGGGTCTGTGTCCAGAATTTGCAAGCTGCTTGTTTAGAGCATCGAGATTGTGTCTGGTATTTCATGTGTCTTTCAGGGTCAGCCAATAGACCAAGCTGCTGTTTTCACTCCACAAGTTCGACCCTCTTCTCAGCTTCCACAGTACCCAGGGTTGCAGCAAGCACAGGTACCGAGATGCTCCCGGGGAGCAAGGGCATAGAAATGCTGTTAAACCGAGCTCCTGAGCCTTGCAGCCTGCTTTTCTCTACTGAAGGCTTGCTCGGGACTTACCTTGTCCGTGTGGCCCTTCGTGGTAATGACACGTTCTCGGATGTTCGCTTGTCTCCGCATACTGTATCGGGTAAAAATTTTAACGTGGTCACTTTCCATTTTTTCCCTAACGATGTGGCTGGTAGAGACCAAGCGCACTTCAGAGTTAAGTCTGAAATGTGGTTCTTTCTGGTGAGGTATTGCCATCGCTAGCTCTTCAAAATAAAGCTTTGTCATGGCCATTCTGATCTTGGGGTTAAAAGAAAAAGGATGGGTTTGGGGTGGGGGGGAGAGCTGTCCCTGCTGGATGCCGAGGTGCAGGCTGGGCGCTGTTGCGCGCGACTGCCGCAGCTGCGAGGGGACGGCGCTGGCAGTGTGGGGTAGCTGCTCCTTGGCATGTGGGTGAGCACGGCGTCTTGCCGACTTGTCTAGGTTTTATTTTTTTTGATAAAGATCATCTCTCTATTTTATAAAGCTAACTTAAACATGGCCACAGTGAAGTTCCTTTTTGGCTGCTTTCCGTGCAGACCATGCCTCATGGATACACCATGTACGGCACGCAGATGCCTTTGCCCCAGCAGCAGGCTGGCGGCGCAGTGCTTTCCCCCAGCTACGCCCCCAGGACGTACGCAGCAACTCACGCCAGTCCCGCGCTGATGGAAAGACTGAGACAGATGCAACAGCAGCCCAGCGGATACATTCAACAGCAGGCTGCTGCATACGCTCAGCCTGTGACGGGCACGCAGCGGTAAGGCCCCGGGGTTCTCGCGGCTGCTAATATTGCAGGATTTTGACTGCAACTTTGATTTGTGGGTCTAAAGGTTTATTTAAAATTAAGTGCGCTACTCAAAATGAGGTTAATGCTGGATCTCATTAGCTATAAATTTGCCTTTCTTAAGGCAAATTCTTCTTGCCTCCCATTTTTTCCTTCATTTAATTTCAGTTTTAAATTGGTCTTGGCTCACACTGCAGCACAGTTATCCTGTATTTTTGTAGAGCATAAAATATATTTATTTAAAAAGGACTGTTGGACTCTATTTCACCGCACACACACGTGTGCGCGCGCGCACACACACACACACACTCTACATAACACGTATCCGTCTCATGCAAACAAGTGTACGGTATTAAACACTAACAAATCTTCTGGGTTTGCTGAAGATCCTGCAGTCAAGAAAACACCAGATCAACTCAGTAATTTAACTAGCAAAAGACAAATGAATTTTCTTAAGCTCGAAAGCATTAATTCGTCTTCGGTTTGAAAGAACAGCTGAGGTGCAGTTTCTACAAGGAACTACGAGGCAAAAATAATTGGAAAGGAAATGTAATGAAACAAAGCAGGTGAAGCAGAAATGAAATCTGTAATAAGGAGTACTGAAGAGTAAGCTGAATAGAAAACGTTGAGTTTGGCCTTGACTTGGTTGACAGCCCTATACAAGAATATACAGGGCACCTTGCGTTTGGAATGAAATTGGAAACTTGAATTGCTTTGTCTTTACCGAGAGTTTTACGCAGTTAGGTTAAATTGCTCACTATCCAACATGCTTTCCCATTGAAAATCTTTCTGGCTTTGTCAATTTTAATTACTCCCATCACATCCTAAGAAAATGTTTCTTGTTTAGTGTGCTTCTTATTTTCTAAAATACTGAAAAGAATTATCATCAGTGTTGAATTCATTCTAATATAACTAGAAGATACTTTGATCAGAGAAAATTTTGACGTATATGTGGAATTCTTGCTTGAAATGTGGAAGTTCGTTTTTCTTTCTAAATAAAGCAAGAGAGCCAGATGGTTGGATCTAATTTCTCTTGTGCAGAGCAATATTATTACTATGTATATCAGCTATTGGGCAATAATGTGGAACTGCTGTTACAGAATATTTTTCAAAGCATTCGTGTTTGAAAATATATTCTTCCTGTAAAACCTAAAATCCTTTAAATATATTGAAGAATACAGCCTATAGTTGAGTGCTTCTGGACTAACTTATTCTTTACATAATCGCTCTGTATAAACACTTTTTTTTTTCTTTTTCTTTTTTTTTTTTTTTTAACAGATTGACCCATCAGCCGCTGCAGCAGAACTCTTTGGTCGCAGGGGGACTGGATACTGTCTCAGCCACCGGTCCGCATCCAAACCTTAACTCCGTGCCGCTGCCTCAGGAACAGATGAGACAGAGACAGCAGCAGATTCGACAGCAGAGGCTCTTTCAGGTGAGCGACTTGGCTGCATTGTAGGAAAGGGATATTTGAGTGCAGGCAAGTAAGCGTAAACATCACTGAATCAGGTGATGGTATTACACGCTCACTTGCATGTGTACTCCAGTTTAAAGCAATGGAGCCTGGTGTTGTAAGCCTTGACTACTTTTATTTGAGTGAAATAATTCATTCTTTACGTTTAGGGCTTCCAAAAGAAAACTTTGGGTGTACATGTAACATTCAATGCTTTCAAGATTGCAGTATGCCTTTGGGGAAGGTAAATCTGAGCCCGGCCTCGCTGAACGGTCTGAGACGAAAGCGATGGTTGTGCTCCGGCCTGTCTGGCGTTTTAGTAAATATCAGATTAAATCCAAAGGGCTTGTTCCCTGTCTGGCATTTTTCTTATGTTCTGATTTGCTGATATATTTTTAATTTGGGAGTAAGTATCAGTTTGTCAGCTAAAGATTGATAAGAGGGAAGTAAATCATATTAAAATCCTTCCCTCAGCCCTTTGATGTTTGGAATTATTTTCATCTGTTCACTTTAAGGCAACAGCTGTTTATACCAGTTGCTATCAATTGATAATGTACTTGATTTATTTAGATTTTTTTGATGTTGTAGAATACCAAGCATATCAGCTTTTGAATATTTCTTTCTATTAAAAATGCTTCTTGTCAGCCTTGGTGTGGCTGACCCTGAGTGGAAGTGGGGAGCTGTAAGGCTCCTCTTCCGCGCAGCCCGGTGAGAAAGGGCCCTTCCATAGCCAGCACTGTCAGCAAGCCCAAATCCGAGCTTGGAAGTAAGTCGTGAAAAGCCATATTCCTTTGAAATGTAACCCTGGAATAGTCCGGCCTCTACTGTGACTTAACGAAAGGACATCTGCTGCTGCGGTTATTGGTGGTAATGGTTTTGCTGAAGCCGGGTAGGGGTGTATGTTGCTGTTCTTTACCGTGACGATCTTCTTTCAGTTGCAGCAGCAGCAGCAGGGCCAGCAGCAGGCGCTGGGTCTCCAGGCAGTGCAAGCACAGCAGCCCTTGGTAAGCAGACGTGAAAGCCGGATGTTTGGTGCAGGTATGAGGGTGACGGCAGGGGAAGTTTTGCTATGTCCTGAAGCAGGCAGCATGGCAATCGGGAAGAGGGAGCGGCAGCACTCGTGTGAGCTGCCCTACATCAGCACCTCGGTACGTTACGTGGTGCTGACTTGCTTGCGTCTGTGATGCTGTCGCTACCACCGGCAGGAACGAGCTATGAACGCACGCGCTCTGCGCAAGCCGGGTAGACTTGTTCTACGCGCATCCTGAGCTGACCAAAAATCGTAGCTGTGATGATAAAAGTAAAACCTCAGCAGATTATTAGTTGGGGCTCAACATCTTGACAGTGCATCCCCATAGCATCTGGTTGGTCCGACTAGGGGCAGAACAGGACGGCATCTGTCTGCAGGGAGCACGTGAACGTGTCCCCCTTGCCAGAACGTGGCAAGAGTTGAGATATGCATCCGCTGACATGTACTTGGAGCCCGTCTCGCCTACTGGATTTTGATCTCAATGCAAATGCAGGTTTTGAACACAGGCCTTGAGAAGAAGGGCTTAGGTACCCCCCGCTCGACCCCCTGGCTTCACTGTAGCATGGCGTTTTAGTTTGCTTTTTAAAGATGCTTCTTCTAGGACTGAAGTACACACAGCTTTCTCTTGCTCCTTTATGATTAGTGCACCAATTTAGTCAAAATTATTAGCAGAATTGAGCCAAATATGACAATGTTTTGACTGAATACAGATTTTTTTGTGTGTGGAAAAGTTCAAATGCTTCAATGTTTGTTTTTTTTTTTTTTGAGATGACACTTAGCATTTAGATTTAGTTCAATATAGCTAATTTCCTAAAGAATGCAACTAGCCACCTGTAGCAGTTCTTTTGAGAAATATTTGGGGATGTAGTGGCAAAATGGGTATGGGTGCTTTTCCAGTTCTGTGCATTTCTTTTCTAAGAACAAGACTAACAAATTGCCTTAAATCTCTGTGTGTGAATCCAAAGGGAGAAACAAATGAAATGTTTTAAAAGCCTCTTGAGTCTTACTACTATTGTGGCATTAAGAAATGGCCGTTTTAAAAATCAGATACAAAACCAAGTGTTGTTTTTCTAGGGGTTTAAAGATATCACTTACTAGTCCGAAAGGAGCGAGAGAGGTAGATTAACTTGTTACTGCTGCAGGAATAATTTTTTCCTAGCTATGCTTGATGTGCTGTGTGTTTCGTGAATGTTCTCTCAGTGTAAAAAGCAAAGCAAAGCAAACCAAAACCCACGCCCAGTGAAGAGCCCTTGCTAGCTTTAAACGTTTAAACTTGATGGGAAATTGGTAGGAGTTGCTGATGCCTCCAAGTGTGTGAGGTTTTCTGTGTCTTTGTGCTATAAGACTTTGAGGTGAAAGCAGGATAACGCATGCAATTGAGGCAACTTGTGGAATTGTTTTTGCTCTAACACAAAGAAAAGAGTTCACCCTGAAGCCAGGGCGTTGGTGTTCATGCTCTCCTCGTACCAGCGTGCCTGCGGTGCGCCTGTGTGCGTAGGGGCGCTCCCTCTGGCGTCCGCTCGGGCAGCCACAGCTCCACTGCTATGAAAAATCCAGCCTCTACCTTAACTCGTGTCGCAGGTGACGGTCGATGGGTTCAGGCCTTTGGTTTTAGGTTGTACTGCTAAAGTCTGTCATATGGCTAATAGTCATTCGTGCATTTTTATACGTACATAAGAGAAATGTGTGTATGGAAAAGATGGGTGCCAATTATCTGGTGTTTGAATGTGTACAGGAGAAAAAAAATTGGTTTTCTGCCTGAAGATCCCTTTAAATTACATAATAAGACATATAATAGAGCTCACGAAGAGAACAGTACAAACAAATTATTTTTGAGAAAATCCGTTAGGCTAAATTGGAGCCTTCTGTAATTTAACATATAATTTTTACCAAGTCACTGTCTATCAAACAATTTCTGTGGACACTCATACTGAATCTGCATAGCACTTAATACCGTGCATTGGAAAGACCTTGTCCTGCTCCGTGTGGGTTTAAGGTAAGGATCAGACCGCTGAGCATTTTGTTCAGTGGATGCGTTTGCCCGCTTGGTTAGGTACTGAGCAGCTCCCCTTCTGTGAGAGCTAAAAAGGAATCGAGTGCACAACCGCAGAAGGTGCGCGGGGCGCGAACAGCTTGTGCCCCCTGCATGTCCTGCTCATCTGAGACGTCACTGCTCCGGGAAAAATGCTCTCCTAGAAGCTGAAGTTTTCGACTGACTGTTATGTTTCAACTACACATAGTTGCTTAGAAATGCTAAGAAGGACGTTAATTTTGATTTTCAGTTTTGAATTGCCTTGGCTTGGCAGTTGTAAAACTGCTTAAACAGGTTTGCAGGAGGGATACTGGTCTCTACAGAGGTGGAAAAGCTGGGCTTTTTGTAGAAGACGACTGGCTCTGTCCCTGTGTCGGACACCTTATGACACAGTTGGGAGCATAGAAGATTTCAGGGGAAGGAAGAAAATGAATGTTCTGCAACTCCTGAGTGTGGTACACGGTCTCTCGCGTGGCGCCGGAGCTGGGCCGGCTCTGTCTGCCTTTCTCCCGTGGTCGTTTTCTGCGTGATCGATCAGCAGTTCACGTAGTAACGCTTTCTCCTGGGTTCACGGACTGAAACAGCTCTCTGCTTTGTAAGCCCAGGCTAGAATAGTTGACAGTAAGATCAGTTTTGACTTGAGCGTGTTTTTATTCCATCCTACGGTGTTGTCGCTCTCCCAAGGCACCAGGCGTTGCGGTGGCGGCACAGGCACGCGCCTCCCGCTGCTTGGCTCCCGGGTTGCCGGCGGCTGCCGGGCGCCTCCGGCGCTGTTTGCGTTG